TGTTTTTTTCTCTTTTCCATTTCAATGGTAGGGAACTAAATTGAGTTGAGAGAACTCATGTATGATGGCGCTGATCAGTGAGACTCGCATACAATAGCTTCTGATCTCATATATGTCTTACACGGTTGATATTTCCCAATATTTGTTGTGGTTGTAGTATGTAGTTGTGGTCTTTAACAAATCTAAGAAACAGAAGAGGTGAAATGTTAATGGTTGAATTTCATTTTTGTGTGTGCATCTTTTAAAAAAAAAAATTGTCATACCAATTGTACTTTGAATTAAAAATAAAGAGAATTACAGTAATAAGACGAACTTTTCCTCACTGTGGTCCATGCGCATTTCTGTTAATCAGTGTATTTTTCATCTTTGTCATTCAGTCCCAATGCTAGATCGGTGATCGTTGAATTTTCAAATGGTCAAATTTTAATGAAAAAAATATCTAATTGAATACGAAAAGGGAACATAATTTTTTGAGAGATTATTAATCAAGTATCACTTACAGTCGGCTTTCAACGCGACTCGATTTAAGAAGCGCCATCTCTTTCACGCCAGGTTCTCATATATTTTTTTCTTGCAAAATTGTATAAATTGAATAAGTTTTGCAATAATAATAACGAAAATAATTAATAGAATTTATAATAAATAAAAAAATTGAAAAAACACACAAATATTTTATATTATATGATTCACCAGAATAGCTTCACTTCGTGTTGTTTACGTTGTTTCTTTTGACAGATATCAATGTTTGACAAATACATATTTTCTCCACGTAACCATCTCTACATGGTCTACAAGGCAAAGCTACATATCATATAATATAAAATAGTTGTGTGTTTTTTTCAATTTTTTTTATTTATTATAAATTCTATTAATTATTTTCGTTATTATTATTGCAAAACTTATTCAATTTATACAATTTTATTTGCAAGAAAAAAATATATGAGAACCTGGCGTGACAGAGATGGCGCTTCTTAAATCGAGTCGCGTTCAAATACATTGTCAATATACAACGCAAGTGATACTCGTTATTAATAACGAATATTTTATTATTTCGAAGGTAATACATTTTTAAATTCAGGAAAGTTGTGAATGTTATTTCATTTCAAATGCCTGTGCTTTTTTGGTTGTAATTTGGCTTTATATAAAAAAAATGTAAGTTTCTCGCGTGGCCCACCTGTCAAAGCCTGATAACGAAAAATGTATTTGTTTTTCCACTAAACTTAGGGAAATACAGTCAAATTCATTCGACAGAGCACAGCAAATTTTAAATAAAACACAATAATTTGAGATATTTCTCTTTTGGGTTATTTTTATTGACCTCTCAACTCGGGCGGAGACAGTTCAATAGTTTATCCAATCGCCTTGTTTTTCGATTACACGGGCACATCGTGAAGGCATAGATTGGCTCAAATTTTGAGCAAAATCACGAAAAAAACTGTTCCACTGGCGAGTAATGAACGAACTGAGCTGCTTCACGTTGCGTATACGTTTGCCTTTGAGCCTTCCCTTCATGATCGACTAGACTTTTTCAATCGCATTGCAGTCAGGTGATTGTGGCGGCAATATCATTTGATGTATTCCATTTTCTTCTTTCCAAGCGTTGCATAAATGACTCTTGTGTTTCGTTTCATTGTCCTCTAACAAAAGCCAATTTGAATTGTCGCTGCCGTAGAACTTTTTGGCGGTGGGTAACAGTGTTTACTTCCCGTGTTTTCTCTATGTGCCTTTGAAATCGATGCACCTTTGCGTATATGTATAAAGAATGAAAGAGATGTGAGAGCGTAGCTATGTATGTCTATGTGTGCGACATTAGTTGTACGTCTGAATACAAGTGAACAGTATCATCATTGAATACGCAAAGGTGCAAACTACTGCGATTGTGCCATTTGAAAGGCACAACGAGAGAACATGGGTTGTACAACTCGCGCATACGCACCGTATTTAAGTTGCCTGTAAGCACCGTCAACTTTCCAAAACCGGCTTCACAAAAGGCACCGTAAACATGCACTTTTTGTGGGTGGCTTTGCGGTGCGTTCCACTGTTTTGTTTCCGGCCGACGACCGAGTATGAGTGAGCGGAGTCGACAACCAAAACGATGACTCATCAGTATAAATAACTTTGCTCCAATCAGTCGTCAAATTTTCATTAGCCCAGCGCAAGCGTTTTTCAATGTGAATTTGAGTCAAAAGCGGTTTTTTGATAACGGGCCGATAACGAACGGATTTGGCAATCAATCGCCTTCTCACAGTCAACGGTGACACATTAATTCCACGACGAGAAAGTTGTATCTTGCTTTGATGTGGATGCTCCGTTAGGTTGAATATTGGGCCGATCGTTCACATTATTTTCACGTTTAAACTGGTCCACCCACTTCTTAACGAATGTCTTTCACTTTTTAATTTGATTTGCGGTTGCCTGCAGCGATATTTTTGGTCCGCGCGGCTGCAAATGCAGGAAAACTGCTTCAAAACGCTTATGAAATTATTCCGAATTCATGTTATTGCTTCAAAACAAACACTGTGAACGGATGTTTTCTTTCAAATGTCATCTCCGCCCGAGCTGAGGGTCCTATCTGACAACACTAAAAAGCATTTCGCGGTATTTGAATTTTTTGCCGCGATTTTGCTGTCGAAGGAATTTGACTGTATGAGAAAAATGGGAAAAATCTTATGAAAAAATATGATAGGTAAAACAATTGTAAATTTTACTCATTGCACACAAAAAGTATTTGTGGTGGATTTACGACGTCTAGTGATGAACATATAGTTTACCGAAGTATGAGTGAATTCTACCACAGCTATTTTATGAAACGTCAAACCCTCCAAGTACTAAGTATTACATTATAACTATATGTTCACCAATAGATGTCGCAGATCTACAACAAATATTTTTTGTATGTAGTATGATTGCAGTTTGCTTTTTATTTTTCAATTTTAATTCATTGTAATGTGCGAAGGGGGGAATTGTTAAAAACATCTTATTCTCCAAACTGCTACAATCGAACGAACGTTCGGAGCAGAACTATGTATATGGCTTATTATTTATAAATTTACGCGGATGTATTTATTTTCATTTCGGAATTTCGTATATCCCACCTTTAAGCGTTAACAAAAAAAGTCAAATTCAAAACATCTAAATCGGTTGAGGTCTTAATACATATTAAAACTCTGGTATATCGTTCTTAATGAATAACCATATACAATATTATGACTTTGTGTTTTATTTCCATATTTTTTTGCTTTAATTTAATAGGTTTTCCGCTGTTAACACAGTCATATAATACAATAAGGTTCATGTTTTGATGTACGGTCACATTTAATACCGAAATCGTCATATAAATCATTCTCAAACATAACATATATATTATTTTGCACTGAAAAATATTGTCCAAATAAACAAAATTATAATAATTGAGTGACAATCACAAAACAAAAAAATAAACTCATACACATGGATACATTGAATATATTGAAATGATGATTCTCAATTCTAAGATTAACGTATTGTAAATGATTGACTAGATAACGTTTGATGCGCAATAAATCGTATTACGTACATTATTTACCTTTTTACGAAACTTTATGATAATAACTTAGTCATTTAAATGCCACCATTGGTGATTGCATCATGTGTTTCGTTACCTATAAAGCAAGCAGTTGAGCGGGAAGAAAACTTATCCACGAAAAAGTTCTTTTCAGAAACAATTGTTCAACAAAGTGATAAAGTGCGAAAAGATACTGTCTAAAAAGTAATAAGAATAATTTTCAAATTGTTAACAAAGGATTATTTGTAAATTAAGGCATAACGAGTGTGGAAATTATAAAAAATTTATAATGGCGGTAACCACAAAAATCGACGGTGAAAGCGGCACACAAAACAATAATATTGGGTAAAATAACCATAGTACATTAAGCATGGATGATATTTATTCAATTTCAATCTTTTGAACAATTTGTATTTCACAGCTCAATAATGCCTGAAATTGAACCTTTAACATGGAGATTTTGGCGAAAACGTCGATATATCATCGTATTGATGGCGTTTCTGGGTCTTTTCAATGTGCATGCATTACGAGTTATTTTAAGTGTTGGAATAGTTGCGATGTCAGAAAATCGAACCGTTCACTATCCAAATGGAACGATTGGATACGTAAGTGTTAGATTAAAATTAATGGAGATCATATGAACTTTTATGAAATAGAACGTTTTGATTTTATTTATATAGGAACAAGAGTTTCAATGGGATTCGAAAGATCGAGGAATAATTTTGAGTTCGTTCTTCTGGGGTTATATTACGACTCAAATTTTTGGCGGTTGGCTTGGTTCAAAAATCGGCGGAAATCGGGTAAGTAATAATGCACTTAGAATTCAATTTTTCATCTTCTAATGAACCTTATGGAGTGTTGGTCATACATTCCTTGTAATAAATATACATTTTCTGAGATGTTTCACATTTTTAAAGCCCTCAAACACCAGTTTAGAATAATACAAACTAAAATTGAATTGCTTGAATTACAAATGACCTTTGAGAAGGCGTGACCTTCAAATTGATTATTCAAAGCATACCACCCTTTTTATAATACCAAACAATTTCAAATATATCGACAAATGTCTTCAGTGAAAATGTTATTCATTCATGAAATCTTAAAATTATTCGACAAACGAAAAAAATCGTATGTCATTTGATATACCTTCATCGTTTATCTGTGATTTATTGTTTTACTCATTTGGTGGTACGCACAGTCGCACACACCCACTCATAAGAAATTGTAATTAAATCTATAAACACATTTTTATCAAGAGATTGTGTTTGATGATATTGAAAAATGTGTTGGTTTATAATTGAACTTTTAGGTATTTGGCATTGGTGTCGTTGGAACATCCGTTCTGACGCTACTCACTCCGCTAGCGGCTAAGACTGATATTATCGCCTTAATTATGGTGCGATTACTTGCGGGAATTTTTGATGTAAGCAAAAAAATATCGATTTGATTTGTTCAGAATAAAAGTTGCGGCTAATATTCACGCTCAATCCCGAATTAATTTTATTTTTTTTTCGTTTGCTACAGGGCGTAACATTTCCATGCATTCATGCAATTTTCTCACAATGGGCACCGCCATTCGAACGATCCCGAATGGCGACGACTACCTTTGCTGGAAACTATATTGGAACAGTTGTTTCAATGTCGATCAGTGGCATTCTTATAAATCGATTTGGTTGGGAGTGTTTGTTCTACATTTTCGGTATGGAATTTTTCTGTAGATATTAAATTCTAATTGTAAATCGATTTCAACCCATTGACTTTTAAATTTAGGTACTAGTGGTTGTATTTGGTTCCTATTCTGGCTGATTATTGTGTGTGAAAGTCCCGATAAAGATAAGCACATATCAAAGGATGAATTGCGTTACATTCAAGAGAGTTTGTCTACAAATACGAATACAAGCGTTAAACATCCGTGGACCGATATTTTCACTTCAAAAGCGGTATATGCGATCTGTGTCGCACATTTTGCTGAAAATTGGGGATTTTACACAATGTTAACACAATTGCCGAGTTTTCTCAAGGGTTTGTTATAAATCTACTTTTTTTATTCACAAATTGTATTCGCCAATTCAAACTATTTGTTTTTTTCACTTTTAATATAGATACTTTGGGCTATGAATTAGAAGAAGCCGGTTTTCTAGCCGCTGCACCATATCTAGCTTTGTCAATCCTACTGCTTGTTGCGGGATATTTTGCCGACATTTGCCAGATCAGGGGATATTTGACAACTTCACAGGTGCGGCGATATTTCAACTGTGGAGGTTAGTCTTTACACATTGCAAATTCACTCTTTTTTTATAAAATTATTGTTTCACCATTCAGGATTTTTGGCTCAGACGGTTTTCTTGATGACAGCAGGTTATTTGATGAGTCCAATTGGAACGATAACATGTATCATTACAGCCATTGGATTGGGTGCAGTTGCTCAATGTGGTTATGCGTAAGTTTTACAATATAAAAGAAAAAATCTCGCTTAGTTCTTACATTGAGAATTTAAATGTTTTCAGCGTGAATCAACTGGATATCGCTCCGCAACATGCCAGTGTAATTTTAGGCATTTCGAATACTTTTTCCCAAATTCCTGGAATAATTTCTCCCGTGTTAACCGGTTACATTGTGGTGAACGCAGTAAGTTATGTTACGACGAAAACCTAAACCAAACAATTCATATTTTCGTTTTATCCCCAATTATTAGTCACCCGATGAATGGAAAATTGTTTTCATGATTTCATCTGTTGTATATTTGATTGGTTGTGTTATTTATTGGATATGGGCATCTGGCGATGTTCAACCGTGGGCCAAAAAACAAATGGACAGTGAATACAAATCAAAGTTACCAAATGACACTATGTATGGCACCAACAACGACGGATTCGAAACAAGTGGTTGAACAACTATGATGAACAACAAAATATAATAGGATATTATCAGAGCATACCGCTATTATTGCTATTGCATTGGAATTGTATACAGTTTTACCCCGTTTTCACGTTAAAATTTTTCACTTCGCTAGCTGTAAATGTTGTGTTCACTTTGCTATCATATAGCTTTCTCTTCTGTAGCGTTCAAATTGAAGAGAAATTTAAATGTAAATGAAAAAAAATATCAGTAAAAATGGACTTCAAGGATACAAACATATATGAATAGTTTATTTATTACCCATATAAATCATTTGCGGAGTAATTTGGACGATGGCGGGACTGTGCGGAGTTTGGCGGAGATGACATACAAACTCTGTGTGTGCGAGGGTAACAGCACTTCTATGTGATGTTCGTTTGGACAAAATAAATCTATGAATAGCAAAGAATGCTGTTGGACTCGTATACACAGCATTTACATACTATCTCCGCCGAACTCCGCACAGTCCCGCCATCGACAAAATTACTCCGCAAATGAGTTATATGGGTATTGGGTTGACGTAGAATGTATGTATTTTTCATTAAATATACAATCGATAATCAAATTTAAGAACTTAATTCAACTCGATGTATTTCTCGTTTCCTGTAACGGCCATGTTTCTCTCTCTACGTTTTAGTTATTGTCTTCAACAACATATAATATGAATAAACGGCTTTAAGCATCTGGAATAAATTGAATGAGAATATTTATTCACAAAATCGAAAATGGTTTGATTGTTTTTACATTGCAAAATGTTTCCAATTGTAAAACAATAACACCGAATCCTTCATACTGAATTTTTTGTTGTGCATTCACAATTATGAATAAAAAATATGATTGCAAATGTGTGGGTAACTCATGCCAATTCAAATCATATATGCAGTCAGCAATCATGACATAACTTTGTGTTGTCATTTTTCCAAAATAGCACCACACTAACATATTCAATGCGTTTACACATGTTGCCATAAAAATAATACTAAGCTCATAATCAATGTCTTTGAGTCCCTAAAATTGAACAAATGAAACTTGTTTTACGCCATTCAAAATGAATCAGAACAAAAGGCAGTTAAATTACGAGATCAATTTGAAATATGACGCAAGCCATTGAAATTGTGTTGGTAATTAATTGAATCAAAATGATTGGATTGAAGATTTTATCTGATACATTGAACCACCTGAAAATGCATTGAACTCCGTGTGAACTTTGTATTTTGAAACAATTCTACTTAAACTCACTGTTTTGCGGTGGTATGCAACTCAATCAGCTTGTAAATAATGATCTTATTGGATTTATCCGTATTTGAAGTATCTATACTTTGGGCTAAATCTCGAAACATTTTATAAAATGCATCATGATGCAAACATATCGATACGAAACATAAAAGTAAAGAACCATTGGCCAGTAAGTAAGATTCACCCATTATGGCGTAACAGCATATTTCTCCGATGTAACCAAGCGGCTTAGATTGATTCCATGGTAAACTGATTCAAATTAAAATTACGAAAATGCGATTTTGCTTTTTTCTGTATCAATTTCAACACATGACTTACATAATTTTATACGGACGATATAAATGCTCCGGTTGAAAATTGCCACTGAAAACATAACCCATGAAAATTGAAGCTGTTGACATCGTCAAATGCGTGAAAAGGATTCCACCCATTACACACTCTAAATATAACTTCCAAAAGCGTTCAGACTTAATATTTGCATCGACCAAGTATTCGAATGAGTGCATATGTTTAGCTGAATTTGGAAATAAAAACGGAAAGGTTCCAAACCGCGTGTGACTTCGTATTGAACTTTTAATAAATAAAAAATAAAACTAAATGGATTACTTACTTGTTTCATAAATTTTTGTCAAACTCCTGAGTAAATTATTTATTTCATGCCGTGTGAAAATTACAATCAGTATTGTATAAAGTATAGCACCTGTTCCGGCAATTTGAAAAATAGCAAATAATGCTTTTTTCAAATCATCTCGCATGAATTTAAAATAGAAAATCATACTGGATATGAGACTCAAGAAATTAGATAATCCAATCGTACCACTGAATGTGATATAAGAAAATTTCCACCATTTGCTAATTTTTTCATCTAGTGGACACACACAAAGCCAAGTTAATATGTATCGGCTTGTTGGTAATGGCTTCATTTTTTAATATATTTTTTTCTTATTTTGATGTGTGTAATATAATACTACTAGTTGCGACTGTGCTCATATATTGATTTAAAAGCACTAAGCTTCAACTGACTTTCAGGTATTTCAAAGACCTAATTCACTCTTGATATGACTTCCGCTTGATATGAATTATTTAAATCATAAAGCCAGGGTGAAAACATTTTGAATGAAAATTATATAGACACACTAAATTGCTTTATTAACAGATTTAGTAGACATGTGTCATGATTACACTAAACATTTAAGTTGGTTGTAATGGTTCCTGGTTTTTCATGAATTTCGACGTGAAGATCGTATACCATGTATGGAAATATTAAAGCAATACCAC